CTCTTGCTGCATCAAAAGCTCTGTCACACTCATAGCTCCACTTAAACACTCTCAATGTGCTTACTATGTCTGTGAGGGGAACAACTACAGATGAGAAATTCTTGCAAAAGCCTCTTTAATGACCTGACATGCCCAGAAACCTATGAAGCACACACTTGTTACAGGGTTTAGGATAGTTTAGAATGGCTTCAACTTTAGCTTCCACTTTCTTCCCGAGGTAGGTCACTGTGGTCTTTCCTACCTCACACTTAGCAAGGTTCAGGGTTAGTGAAGCACATGCTAACCTCTCAAAAACCATCTCCAATATTTTAATGTGGTCTTCCTAGAACTTAGTATAGACCACAATATCGTTGAGATAAGCATCACAATTGTGCATAATTGTGATGATATGCAGCATATCAAAGCATTGTTGATATGCTAACAAACAAGGAAAACTCCAAGGACTTTGACTATGTCGGGCCAGGCTATGCTGTAACATGTACTCAACTTAAAATTTCATTAAGTTAGGCTTAGTTGGATTAACCCGGTATGGATGCTGTGTAATTGGTTTAGCTTGCCTTACGTCGATGTCATGCTCTAGAACTGAGGTTCTGCCTGGCACGTCAGGGTTTAAGTGAGCAAGGAATGAGAGCAAATCTTTCAGCACAGCAGAGTTTTGCAACCTCCCATTAGTTTGATAACTAGCTTGAACAGCTTCTATAACATTTGACACTTTGCTGCAATTTTGCTGCAACAGGTATCTAGGTGGAGAAGCAGGCTTAGAGTTGCTTATAAACATACTGATGTGGTATACTTGGGATTTACGTTGTCTATCAGGACTACTAATCACATAGTCTGTGTCACTGAGTTTGTCTTTTACTTGATACGGGCCTGTAAATTAAGCTTGTAAAGGTGAACCAGGTTCAGGTACAAGAAGTACAAGAACTTCATCAGATGGCTGTAAACTATGAGAGACACTTTCCTTATCATAGTGTTTTTTCATTTTTTTCGGCATTAGATGTTCCAGATCAAGATTGGGTGCTCTGTGTAACTGCTTCCAGAATGAACTAACTTAATCAAGGATGGTTACTGGCAACACATCTTTGGCCAGCAATTGTTCAGCTAGCACTTTAAGTGGACCACGCAATGTATGTATGTCTGCAGGACTAAATCCAAGGGACTCCTGCTCTGCTTCTTTAATGGCAAACATTAAAAATGGCAAGCCTTTTGCTCAGTCCTTTCCACTAGAAAGACAGTAGGTCCGCAACATCGTTTTGAGCGTTGGTGGAATCTTTCCACAGTGTCTTGGGATAGTGGGTGATATGCGCTTAAGACTACATGCCTAATTCCGAGGTGAGTTGACGTCTGAGTGAACAGTCTCGATGTAAAGTTTGTACCCTGATCAGTTTGTAAGAACCTTGGTAAACCAAACGTGGTACAGAATTGAATCCGTTCTCGGATAATTACTGGTGCCTTGATAGAGTGCAAAGTAATAGCTTCAGGAAAGCGTGTGGCTGTACACATGATGGTTCGAATGTACTCGTGCCCTGATTTTGACTTTGGTATTGGACCCACACAGTCAATTTACAAGCGCTCAAAGGGTTCTCTCATAACGGGTATGGGCCATAAAGGAGCAGCGGGAAGCTTCTGATTCATTTTACCAGCTAATTGACAGACAGCACATGATCGGCAGAATCAACTACATCTGAATTTCCTTGTCTGGGCACACGTCACTGCACACGCAGGAAAGGCAGCAGGAAAACATTGGGCAATTTTTGAACAATCACTTTCGTTCAATTCGCTAATTAATACCAGCCATGGAAAAAACATCTCCACCGGTGAGATTGTTACCCAGGATAACATCTATCCCATTCAACTGGTAAACGAGAGCAAACCCCAAGTCTCACTGGACCGGTTACTAAATCTGATTGCAAGTACAGATCATGCAGGGGGACGCTGAGGCACTTCATACCAATACCTCATATTAAAACGTCTGCACCAGGATAATTAGACAGTGATGGTAACTGTTCTTCCAGAATAAGTGCCTGGACTGACCCAATGTCTATCAGAATCTTCACTGACTTTTTTTCTGATTCAGATGAATAAGACACTGTGCCATCCAGCAAAAAAACAGCTGATACTCGCGAGTAACAGTATAGTGACATTAGCAACATCACCTAATGTGGAAACCAAAGCTGTACTTTTAGGTCGTGAAGCAGCAACTTTTTGTTTCCAAATCCAAGCCCTACAATCGGAAATTAAATAATTTGGGTCAAGACAGAAGAAGCAAGCTCGTTTACTGTTACTTTTCCTACAAAGTTTGATGAGCTTAATGGCATCTCGGTTCGTTCAAATATGACAAAATATGCATCTACCTCACTCTCTCTAAATAGTGGAACAAGTTTGAGATTCTTACTAACATCAAAGTTCACATCGGCACCAGCCTCATTCAAAATCTGAGGGACAGCAGCAGGGGAGCAAGCAGAAGGAGGACATGACCGCACCTTAGGCACAGGCCAGTTTTTCAGGTCCAGATCATTTAGCTCTAATTGCTGTAATTTTAAAGCTGGGTCTGTCTTCACCTCTATAATGCGCAGTTTAACAAGTAATGTTTCATGCTTCACTTGCTTAATCCGGAGATCCAACTCCATCATTTTAACTGCTAAAACTGGGTCGACAGAAAACTCTGACATGGCAACATTAGGAAAGCCCCTGTCTGACATAGCCCCTAATGTCAGGCGAAACCTCCTCATCCTCCATGGCAGCGGACTCTGGTAAAATCCCAGATTCCACAAGCCTATCACGTAACACTTGCTTGATAGTTTTTTTTTGTTTTTGCTTCCCTCGAATAGATGAGTATCTAATTGTCACCAATCTAGTTCAAATATAGGTATGAGCCCCCTACTTGTTACGCCCCCCTCCTGTCTAGGGGATTTGGGGGGGAGGTAACAAAGGGAAAAGCATAAACAAAACAAACAAAAAAAGTTAAGATGAGAAAAAAGGAAAGAACACTTACCACAACTCCCTAACAAAAACAGGGATAAAAGCAGTATTAAAGGAAAAAAGCACTCTCTTCCTAAAGCTTCCCTTTTAACTCAATACATAAACAAAGAAATAAAAAGAACACATTATCTTCTACTTATCTTTAGCTTGACAATAAGCAAGGACACAGACACAGTTTAGCTCTATTGGCCACTGCTAATACACAACCCAGAATCACAGTTTGGCAAACTATTATTATCCACCACAGAATTCAGTCTGGAGCAGGGGAGATGTGTGTCTCTCTGCGCTGCTCTCTTTTTATTCCTGAAGGCTTCACGGAACTTTTTATATTGTGGCTTGATGACACCACAATCCTCAAAAGAAAAGGGAACTCTAGACACTAGATATAAGAAGCTCTGAGGTGTGAGCGGGCTCCTGGCTGAGCTCTGGGGCATGCTCAGGAATTTCACTCTCTGGAGTAGACTTGGGGTTATAGGGGTTTTGCTCAATATGACGTTAAGTGGCAGATCAGTGGGTGTTGCTGCAGTTGGATATCTTTGTAAGAGGTGTCCTCTCTCCCAGATGAAACCTAAAATACTATGTGGAGGATGCAAGATAGTCTAACAATTATAAATGACTGTATAGTGAACCTAAAAGTACATCTTCAGGAGAACAATGAAGAATATATACATAAAATGTTCCAATTAGACCTAACAAACAAGGCTAAAACATGAGAAAACGGGAAAAATGAAAATACATTAAAAATAAAATCATTATAATTTAAGGAAATTTTAAAAAGTGGTAGAAAATGAGTAAATAAACCAAAAAATAAATAAATAAATTAAAATGGCAAGCCTTCAATAGCTTATACTCTGAACTGCTGTTTGCATACTGAACTCATCTGCACAGTGAAAACAGCACCTACTACAGTCAAAAAACACAATGCCCAACACAGTGTTCAGATTTTGATACTGTAATGCTGCCGAAGGGCACCATTTGTTGACCCTATAAGCCTACAAACCAAAATGCTCTCTAGGATATAAAACACAGGAGGTTAGACTTGACCAGAGTGAATTTGGAGAACATTATAGTCATTCTGTGTCAAATGGAGGGGGTTAACGGATTTTGGTAACCTGTTATGCTGCCTTGTCAGATTTGGTGACCTGATGTATGTCCGTTACTGTTCACATCGGACCAAATGCTTTCAAGGACATAAAATAGAGGAGGTTAGACATGGCCAGAGTGAATTTGGAGTAGCCTTACGAAAATTAATCATGGTTTTACTACAAATAAAACCAAAAACACATGGTTAATGGTTAATATATATAGTTATATATATATATAGTTATAGTTAAACCATGGTAACCACAAATTAACCATGGTTTTGCTACACTAACCATAGTTTAACCATGGTATTTGTAGTAAAACCGTGGTTATACAAATGGTAATCAATACGCCAAAAGACGGCGTTCCCTTTTAGTGAGATACCGAACAACTGTTAGAAAGAGAACCATGGTTAATTTTCGTAGCCGACTGACTTACGGGCGCGATAAACATTTCATGAAGCTGCATACCCAACTTGTTAAAAAATATTTATTTTCAAACTTCTGCATAACCCCAAAAATTTAGTTTTTTGGGTACTCTCTGGATCTAGGCCCTTCTCACTTTAAATGTATTATTAAGTTTCGCTATTTCTTGCCAAATTTTACATTCATAAATGTAAATTTTCAAAGAAAACTCCTTCCTTTTTTATTTTCAGGAAAGATTTTGATGTGTATGTAAACGCTTTAAGAAATTCTAATAATTCTATTGCATGTAAGACTCTTTCATGGCGTGATTCTTATAAGCTAACGTAGTATACCTTGGATTAATGTATGTAACCCTCATTGTCTTTTGTTCTTATTCTGTTTGTGTATTTGTAATTGTTATTATTTTACTGCATAATAATAATAAAAAGAACATTTAATGAACGTGCCTGTGTGATCGAGTTAAAGTTAACAGTGACAACAGCGCCTGCTACGGTCACAGAATTTTTTTGTAACACCGGAAGTGTCTGCCCAGAGTTTGTCGAAGTGCTAACGGCTACGCTAATGCATTACAGAGCGCAATACGATTCTCTGTCTGAATGTGTCATCTCCACTCCGGACACACATTAACACACTATCGCCATGCTACCGCAGCAGTGAACCTTCTTCACGGCAATAAAAAGAAACGACTGCATATCCTTCTGCTTATCCAAGCGGTGAAACGAGGCAGGTTAGGAATTATAGATCCCAGCTAATAATTCTGCATGTAGCTGTTAGCATGTAAACAAATAAAGGAAACGCGACTGACAGATTGATTATTTGAATGCACTGCATTCCCACATCATGCTATTAGAGATTTTTTTTAAATCTTCTAATTATTTATTTTTCAGTTGGCTCAGTAAAATCAATGTATGTGTTTTGACAGGCAGGACTGCTAGCTAACTGCTATCTTGTGAGATTATGAAGTTGTCGTTCAGTTTTGGCTTTTTGTGGGTGTATAAAATTACTGAACAGAATTGAATTTTCTGTTCCTGTAGTTTAATTAGATTACAACGAGGTTACTGTAATTGACGCATCTTTATGTGTCAGTATCATAGTGTCAATTGTGTGGTATTTGTTCAATACAGTTTTTTCATTTGCTTATTTATTATGGCAAACATGTTTTCTATTTACTTTAACATCGTTTACTATGTTCTGTTTTTCTTTGCAAATTATATTTGAGTTGACAGCAAACTCTAAAGTAGCATGTTTACACTTATATTTCTCCTCAAAGTGACAACATCACTGGTAGTGAGATGATAATAAACAAGTAGCTAAAAGCTTTTGAAAGCAAGTCATTGGGCACGATTTTTACACATACTGACCACAATGTCCCAGTCCATCAATCTTGTAACACATAATGGACTGCTCAGTACAAGTAATGGTTTTCAAACTGAGATGCATGTTGTTCAGCTTGTTTTGCACTTCTGAACTCTTCATCTTAAGTTGTTCTTTCAGGGGTGAATGACCGACGTGGTGCCTACCACCGCCCTCAGTGAAATAAAGCTCCGCCTACTCTGCCACGATGACATAGAGAGAATAAAAGTGCTCTGTGGAGAGTGGTTTCCCATTGAGTGAGTGCTGAAACATCTAACCAAACCATCCCTTTATACAGGTCAAGTACAAGTCTAACACACTCTGTTATTGGTTTGCTTGTGGTTTAGGTATCCAGACTCATGGTACCATGACATCACATCAAATAAGAAGTTCTTCTCTCTGGCTGCCACCTTTAAAGGTGGAATTGTCGGGATGATTGTGGCAGAAATAAAAAGCAGAACGAAAGTGCACAAAGAGGTACAACTTTCATATGTATGTTGAGTCAATGACACAAAGAGGAAAAACTGTGTCAGAATAAAAGAATGCTTGTTATAATGGTGCAATACATATTCTGTGCTTAAAGGAGTAGTTCATCCAAAAATAAAAATTTGAAAATGTACTTACCCTCAGGCCATCCAAGATGTAGATGAGTTTGTTTCTTCAGCGGAACAGATTAGGAGAAGTTTAACATTACATCACTTGCTCACCAATGGATCCTCTTCAGTGAATGGGTGCCGTCAGAAAGAGAATTCAAACAGCTGATAAAAACATCACAATAATCCACACCACTCCAATTAATCATTAAGATCTTAAAACGAGTCCTCTGTCCATAATATATATTTTTCTCCAGTAAAAATGTTGTCTCGCCTGAATCAAGAGAGAGCCCAAAATAATTCTAATCAAATATGTCAGTGGATTTTTATGTGAGAGGGACAACAGGGTTGGACTTTTTCACTAGTGGAAGCTTTATATGAGTTATGTACTTTTTAAAGTTAAATCAGTGGCAAAATGATGGATTTGTTTCTTACAAACACAGTAATTGATGGACTGGAGTCATGTGGTTTATTATGATGCTTTTATCAGCTGTTTGGACTCTCATTTTGACGGCACCCATTCACTGCAGAGGATCCATTGGTGAGCAAGTGATGTAATGCTAAATTTCTTCAAATCTGTTCCCACGAAGAAACAAACTCATCTACATTTTGGATTGTCTGAGGGTGAGCAAATTTTCAGGAAATTAGTATTTTTGGGTGAACTGTTCCTTTAATGTCTATGAATATGTGAGAGGATTTTGTTTACTGTGTTTTATGCTATTGAATAATACATTTTTGGATGAGTAAAATGACTTTGACCATGAACAATAGTTCCTCTGGAGCTTTGATGTGAAGGATCATAATTAAGATCATCTGACATATCCAAAGCCTTTTTATAGCAGGTGATTAATTAGGTTACAGACTAAATTTCTGCACGTAGCAAAGGATTTGACTTTCATTAGAAAGGATTTTACCTCTTCATGGTACAGTTATGTCTCCTACTAAATCTGCTTGCAGTTACTCTCCGTGTTCATGAGTGCTTTTATATTATGCAAGTTAGATATTACCGTTAGTTCACTTTCAATGAACTATTTAAACCCATGCATGATGAGTACTATATATCAAAGTCAAAGTCCTTTATATGTACAAGTTCTGTGCATGAAGTACAATGAAACAGTACAGTCTGTCTTACTTGAATGCTTTTCCACAGACCAGACCTTACTTGAATGCTTTTCCACAGACCATACCATATAAAAGACAGAATATAATATACAGTTTTGCTATGTACTTAAATGTACAGTAAAACAATAATAATAATTCTCAAATTTCTGCTGAAAATTAAACTTTGCATTGCAGGAATAAATTACATTTTAATATATATTAAACTAGAAAAAGTAATTTTAAATAATAAATATTACTTTACAATTTTGCCATTTTTACTGTATTTTTGCTCAAATAAATCCAACCTTGGTTAGCATAAGAGACTTCTTTTCAAAAAGAAAAAAAGCACCTTGAAAAATCTTTAACTCCCTCAATATGTCAATAACTAATAACAAAATCCAAATCATTACTTTTTGTTATTCCAGTGTTATCCCAGCTAACCATCTGTGTTTCTAACTCAGCACATACTTCTCTCCACCAGGATGGAGACATCTTGGCCTCCAGCTTTCCTGTTGACACTCAAGTTGCGTACATCCTGAGTTTAGGGGTCGTGAAGGAGTTTCGAAAACATGGAATAGGTGAAGGGGTGACATTTGTCTCACCTATTCTTACAAACTGTGTGAACAGTATTCAAACAGTTTGAATGGACACTCGTATTTCTTTCTCTCTCTTTGCAGGCTCTCTGTTACTAGACAGTCTAAAGGAGCACATCTCCACCACGGCACAGGACCATTGTAAAGCCATCTACCTGCATGTGCTCACCACCAATAACACTGCCATTCACTTCTATGAGAACAGAGACTTTAAACAGCACCACTATTTACCGTATTATTACTCTATACGAGGAGTACTGAAGGATGGCTTCACCTACGTCCTCTACATCAATGGCGGACATCCTCCATGGACTATCTTATATCCTTTTCAAATAAATGCAGCTTTGATGATAATAAGATACGTCTTTCAAAAACATGAAAAAAACAATTCTACCAACCCCAGACTTTTGAACGGTAGTGTGTATTCCCAGTTGTCTTGTAGTGTTCCTTGACTCACTCAGCACTGATTATATTCATCATATAGGTTCGGCACTGGCCAGTCTGAGCCCCTGCTCAATTCCTCAGAGAATTTACCGGCAAGCACAGAATCTGCTGCGCAGTTTTCTGCCGTGGTCGGGCATCTCTTCCAAGAGCGGCATTGAGTACAGCAGAACAATGTGAGGATCGTCAGGTCACAACAGTGCAGGGTACGCCTGACTCATCCACCTCTTTCCACTCTTAAATGTCTCATTCATTTTCTTCTAAGCTCTAATGATGTCTTATTTATCAGGTGGAAGCGATTGATTTGTTTGGATCACATCAGATGCCGAAGAGGGTTGTGAAGACTGATATCAGATCTCTCTGGTCTCGAGCAGTGTATTATACTTGTATATTTTACATGTATATACTGTACCAATATATACTTTAATTAATATATGCCTAGTCATTGGTAGATTGCCCTCTTAATATATACTCTCCACTTCATGCCTGTAATTCTGCTGCTGTGTAGAAATATTCTATTGTTTATCCAGATTTTTAATATAAATAGATTTTTTATTTTTATTTGTGCCTGTTCTGTATAGATGATTTTAGGGTTTGATGGAAGAAGTATGCATACTTTTTTCATTTAGTCACTTTCATGCATGTGTCAAGCACTAGTGTTTGGTTTTGTGCAGGAACACTTTGACACTAAGCATATATTTTAGCCCCCAGTTTTAAGATTTTAATAACATTTGCACAGAGGCAGTGAATGTAGTGTTGCTATGAAGGGAAAATAACACAGTTGCAGACAACCCTCCATCTCGCCAAATGTGTATTATGTGTTGCTGTCAAATTTAAATGTGAAAACTCTTTCAATTCAGATCATCTTAATTTAGCTATAGAGTTGCATCCTGCCATTCTGTGCAATGCACTTTCTGTTCTATTAAAGGGGAAATAAATGAATGTTGTGGGGGGAGAAATGCTTGAATTTCGGTATGTTGCTGTGAATCAGGGATTTACACACAAAATAAACATATTTAAAAATAGATCACTCCTGCATTATGTGACTTACAATATGTTTGGCCATCCATTCATGATGTCTTTGATGAAACACACTGGTTTATCGGCGAAGGGTGTTGTTTACAGAGAAACATTTCTGTGGGATTACATAAGGAACCTTACAGAAACTGTTCTATCATATGTAATTGGTCTTCCATTTCTGTATCTGTAAAAACAATTTGTTTGAGACAAATTTTTTTTTTGGAAACAAAATTGCATGTATGAATAACTGTTTTGAACAAGTTATCAGTATAAGTAATATAACCACTGTCACCTTGTGCTTTTGAGTTTGAGATTGTGTGTAAATCTCCTACAATTATTATCCAGTCTGTTTTAATGTTACATTCTTGTGAACTGGTACATGGTTGTGGTTTACATATGATTGCGTTCATTTTTTATGTAAAGAATCTAAACGGGAAATGTTTTACACTCTTATAGTAAAAAAAATACATTCTGAAGAGAGGATGGTCAACATGTAGGTGACATGAAATACTGAAAAGATTAACTGAAATGTTTTTCATAATCATACCTGGTAGTCTCTGAATTGTGACGCACCCTCTACTGTTCATTGAGAGGATCGTAGACTAAACATTTTTTTTTTATGTTAACAAAATGAATTTTATTAGTTGTATTCCTCTTGTCCGTTTGCATCCTTCCATTTGTTTGTTCTTCATTTATGAATTGATTATTCATTCATGCATTAAAAGCCTTTTGAGATGACCTAAGAGAGAAAATAAAGAAACTAAGATTGTGCAAACATTTGTTTGAATAGTAGCCTATTATGTTACTTTTTGTTTACATTTCAAACTCAGAATGTTTGAGGTTTTACGGTAATTGTCATTTAATAACGTAATTTTGGATGGCTTCGGTTTAGTCACGCCTCTTTGGACCCTCATTCAGAGTGAGACAGACCAGCAAAGGCTAAGCATAAGCAACTTCTTTCTATCGTGGCTGCTTTTCGTTATTTACCGTCTACAACAATCTACGATTGTTTTCTTAGCCTCGTGCACATTTGCTAACGGTGAGTGATGCTGTGATTCTTTTTGAAATGTTACATCCAAACAAAGTGACTTGTTTATTTTTTACGAAAGTGAAAGAAAAGACACTTCTATGTGTTCATGAATTATTCAAGAGATTAAAGGAATTATGACGAGCAATGGTCGCTGTTTAAAATCTGTTAGACGTGTTTTTTTTGTGTTTTTTTTAAACCTCCGTGTAAATGCTGAATTGATTCATTTTTCTTTTGGCAGTCTTCGACTTTAATCTGTTGCATCTTTGTACGATCATCTGCATCGTTCTACTTTCTTGTTCATTTCTTTTTGAATATGTAACTTTTAAGGTTTCAGATATGATATATTGTAGGAAGTTTGAGCAAATGAGTGAAATAAAGTGGCTTAATTAATGCACAGAAGGACTAGTTGAGTTGGTGAAGGGAGGGAGGGGTCAAAGCGCAGCTCGTCGAAATAACAATACAAGTAAACGTGCCACAATTCTAGGAAATATACAGGAAAAATGTGTGTTTCGTGTAAAGAAGGTGTTTTGGTGGTAGACTGCGTCTATGATTCTGATACATTTGCCTTGGAAATCTTTGGCTGACTCGCAGATGTTGACATAATAATGCAGCGTTGACACCAGATAACAGTGAAAAACAGATCCTCTCTAGAGATGTGCTCTGCTTCTCAGTTTTGCTTTACCAGAACAAATAACAATGTATCTTAGTGTTCTTTATTGCTTTTGATTTAACGCTACAAAAAAGTGTCTCAGTGTTGGGTTGATGACTTAATCTTCAAGAACATTGTACAGTAAATGAAAGTACACGGGATCTTTGGCAACTCTTTCACCTTACATACATAGGCTAAATAATGTTGAATTAACATCTTGATTAATGCATTACATTAGTTTAGGATTTATAAGACACATAAAGCTATATTTTTAAACATAAATGTGCTTTTCCATTTTAGAGAATTAAATTTTTTTTAACCCAAAATGAAAATTATATGTTCTCCCTTTACTGCTGAATGCAAAAGTAGACTCGGGCTTGACTGATGTATTTGCAATCCCGGCGAAGGTATGCTAAGCCGCGTAAAGGCCAAGTCAAATTTTATTACATTCATGAATAGCCTAATGTTAATAAAGCTAAATGTTTACTTGCATTATAAATACAGATAAACATTACTAAAAACTATTTTAGTTCTTCTCACTCCATAGGCTAACAAATCCTTTAAAGGAGACATATTATGCCCCTTTTTACAATATGTAGGCTAATATAAGTCTCTGGTGTCCCCAGAATGTGTCTGAAGTTTCAGCTCAAAATACTCCACAGATCATTTGTTATATCATTTTGAAAATGGCTATTTTGAGTGGAAGCAGAAACACGCTGTTTTTCGGGCCTGTCTCTTTAAATGCAAATGAGCTGCTGCTCCCTGCCCACTTTTCCAGAATAGAGCTGCGCCATTACAGCTCGTACCTGCTAAAAACATCTGTTTTGGTTCTGATTATCATGTTTTGGGACTGTAAATAGTGTTTTGTGCTCGTCTGTGCAGCCAAAGACAGAACAGTTAGCATGTTTTGCTCAAACTTTCGTTGTGGCATTAGAGCTGGTACACCGTTGTCGCTTGCAAAATCAAAATGACGGCACCGTGGGTGGAAACGGTGGAAACTTATAGGTGAAGGGGCGGTAATATAATGAGATCCCTTTGCTACGTCACCAAGGGAGCGAAATCTGACACGCTCGTTTTCTCAGACGCTTGCAGAAAAAGGCTTACCAAAACAAAGTTACTGGGTTAATCTTTTTCACGTTTCCTTGGTTGGTAGATGCACCGGGGACCTGATTATAGCACTTAAAACCTGGAAAAGTCAGATTTTCATGATACGTCACCTTTAAATTTACCAGTAGGCTATTCAGAAAACTAATGAAAAATAGTAGGCTACAAGTACATCAACCCAAAACGAATTCATTGCTGCTGAAACTGGAACAGTCGTTGGGCTCACATAGCCTACCTCTCATATTCGGCACGAATCCATTTAAAAATGTTTCCATATTCATGATGTATTTGAATACTAAACTATTACTTATTATGATTTGAACTTCACTGCACGTAAATCATCCTTCACATGTGCAATGTTTGGTGAGTGAACGCAGATAGCACACGTACATCTGCAAGAGGTCTGTTAAAGATCTCTTGATCTGGAAAGCATCTGCTGTGTACAAACATCTGACAGATGTCTTTCAGATGTCAGTTTTACATACATTCTAAATCATAAAAATCATAGAGACGTATAATAGGCGTCTATTTGACATCTGATAGGAGACGTCCTATAGACGTATTGCAGATGAGCAAACACTCTAAAAAATACGTCTTCCAGATGTAAACGCAGACGTCAAATAGACGTCTCCGTGACATTTGTGTGCTATCAGGGAATGGATTGTACTTCGGACTATTTAAATTGAATAGTGTAGCCTAACTTTTTATATGTTTGATTGGCTTATTTTATTTTGATAATGAACAGGCTGCGATGTTATAACTAACATGTTGTGTGTGCGCTGGTGAGGAGCCTGTGCTATCACTTGAATTTGTTCCTTATGACAGCACAAACAGAGACATCATGTGAAACCATAAAGGATCTACTTTTTTTTGTGTACAGTCACAATAACAACAAAACACTATGCTTTACAAAATAAAGAAAACAAACAGATGTCGCTTTCTGCCATATAGGCTATTGATTTCCTTTCCGTGAACTTGTTGCATTAGAAAAATGGACAAAAACTCGGCATATAGAACTTGTCACAGTTTTTCCTTTAGTTTCTGTGAATTATTTAAGTCAAATATATTTTGCGAATAGGACAATTTATTTATTTTATATATGTGATTTTATTCCGTTTTTCTCTGTTCATGTAATATTTATGTTGTTTTAATTCAGCTTTATAACAGAAATGTTTTTAATAGTTTTAATTAGGCTAACTTTAATAACCCTACCCAAATGTCAAAACATCCATAGAGCTGCAGTACACTTTCAATTTTTCGGCTGTTTCAAGCCACAGATATTTACAAAAATTAATTTAATGCCGGTCTGGGACAAAATGTCATTCAATCTTTTGTGTGTAAATTAACTTTTTTATCGGTTATTTATGAACATGACACAATACTCTATAGCATTAATATACCTTGAAAAGAGTTTGTAACCCTTTTAAAGCACGACATGAAATACGGTGAGTCTGGTAAATCGTGAATTAGCGGTCATGACGCACACTGCTTCAAGTCAGACGCTGATCGATCGTCATGTCGGAAAGATTGTATTTACAGACTGAACGCACATAAATGCCACCACAAAGTTAGCCAGTGGGTAAACTTAAGATTTTCTTTTAGCTCAGTTGGGGTGTGTCAGTTAGAAAACATAGCAGATACAATGGTATAATTGTTGAAATTATTAAAATTATTAGTATTATTTTTTTTTTTACTTGACGACAAAACTAGCTACTAGATACAAAATACAATTATTATGATAGAATATATAATGATTAAGGTTAAAGCCTAATAAAAACATAAAGCAAAAACACACCTGATGCAGATTATGTATCATTATGTAGAAATAGATTTCCAAAATCTTGTTTTATTTTTTGTAAAAAAAAAATACGAAAAAAGCATCAGCATTTTGGTCTGACCAAAGTGACACCTGACATCGCAATTACATCTTCCCAACTCGTAAATACAAATTTCCCAGGAGGGCATCCTCATAAGGATCATTGGTTGTCTTAGGAGATCTAATTTATGGTTATTTAGTGTATTATTCCTGATTTGAGAAAGCAAAATGATACTGTAAACTACTAGGAAAAGGCTGATTACATTGGAGGTTACATATACAGTCTGATGTTCACTATTTCCCCCAATACTGAAGTCACAGAGCTTAAAGAATCCCAGTGAAATGGTGCCACTCAGATGGGATGTTTTTGTATTTTGAGGGGGCTGATCCATTTTTTCATTGTTTTGAAAAACAGGAAAAACGATTGCATCATAACGGAGTATACTTCACAGCACTGTTCATTTCTTGTCTTGAAAATGATTTTGTGTCTTGTGTTCAAACAGGTCAAATTCATGTGTCTTTTGCACGTGGCTTTACAAAAACAGGAAATGGCATGTTGCTGTAACTGCTGCTGCTGGCATTGAAGTACATTCTGCAAAATGAAAGGACATTCCTGAATAGTAGAGGCAAAATTTAAAGCTTAAGACTCAGTTATTGGTTAAAAAAAGATTGACCACTTTTCTGAATATTGTGTGCAATATGTCCCCACGTTGTGCGCCACATTGTGCTCAAATGTGTTGTCAAGTCAAGTCACCTTTATTTATATAGCGCTTTTAACAATACAGATTGTGTCAAAGCAACTGAACAGCATTAAATTAAAACCAACAAGTGTTGTAAAACCAAATATTTTATAAAGCCAGTTGCCTCTCAGGGTCTAATATGTCACTGGAGAAAGTTGTTTGTACTCTCTCATTCATGCTCTATTCAGACTTATTGAGGTTGTAACAGCAGGGTCTGAGTCAGAGCTGTCCTTGCACCCTGAAGCTGTGGGCCGGATTCAATAGTGTGCCGTCACTGTGTGTAGAAACCTCGATTGATGAAATGTAGGCATCTGGACCTGGCAGAGGTTTTAGTCATTTTGTCATTCATTGTCATTTTAGGCACATTATTTCATTTCCTGGAGGCTATGATGCATGCAAACTCTTTATTATATTCATCCGTCAGTTTATATCCATTTAGCATGTTGTCCTCAGGGAAAACATGGGCAGGAGTGGGCATGTTATTGGACGAATGCAGCTGAGGTTGGCGTGATGATTGTTGTTGATTCCATTAAGTGGTGCAGTTTTGTTAAGTGTATCTCTTAACTCGCGTTTTGTTGGAAATGTACATTCATTAGATCGTTAAAAGGCAATAAAAACGGTGCTGCTCACTTCCTGTGTACTTTACAAACTGAACCTCTTCAGGTGCTTTCAGCCCTTGAGTGCAAACAAACGGATAATT